GCATGACTGCAACTTGTTATGACTGATTCCTGATAAAGGGGGGGTCCAACCACAATCAATTAGAAGTGATCATTTCATCCAACTCTTAGGCCCAAAACCCCTAAAGGTGCTGTCCCTTTTTCCATGAATTGCAGCCATCAATCTATCGTATATCCCTCTCACTCAACCCGAACCTTAAGTAGAAACTTGTATTAATTTCTTGCAGAGAAGGATACAACTTTAGTCAAGACAGCAGTGAGCACAACTCTCTGGCAGATGAGTATGGACTTGTTGCTGTTTTTTTCTGAAATTTTACCAATTTTTATTTACATACAACAACTTTCCTTTAACTTCGTTCATCAGAATTAAGACGGTTTTAATTGAATCAGACTCATTCAAGTTATTTTATTCGACATTTGAGGGGAAACTCGATTTTCAAAATTTGGGCGTTACTGCTCTCTCCCACATAATACGGGAATCACGGGAGTGCTACCCGCGAGCTTTCAAAATTCCAATTCGTGCGACCAAGCCGGCAACACCCCATGCGTTTAAAAAGTTCCCTTTTGTCTGTTCTCGGTTGAATTGGAAACCGGAGACTTCTTAGCGTTGAGTGTTTGAGGCGGAGGACGAAGTTGCCAAATCGAGCGTTTTTAGTTTAATTGTGACGGGAGCGGGTTCATATTTTCGTGAGGACTCGGCAAGGAGGTGCGGGCTGCTCGATATTAAGGAGTGATGCGCGGCGTGAAGGTCGCCGCGAGAGGAGTGGGCGAAGAAGTTGGAGTGATGCAGGGAAGCGATGGGGTTAAGGCAGTGGCGGAAGGCGGGTACGGGGTTGGGGGCGAGAACGCGAGAAGCCGGCCAATTGATCGGAAAATATTCGCAGCGTTTACATACCCCTGCCATGGTCCTGGATCCATGCAGCTCCTTACCCGCTTACCCCGCAATTATCCTCTCATTCCGTTGCCAAATCGACTCACTGGGCGCTTTATGGATATTGTAGAGTAGATTTTCTATTCAATTTATGGATTCGTATCGTAAGGTGCGTACATCGTGCATGAAATAATGACCAAACAGGTCTGCTATGGTCATGTTCAACAAATGGCGGATGACGGAGTGCCTTAGAAGGTACCAGATTGGGGACCTCCTGGGAGGAGACGTAAGGTCTGTCCAGCAAAATCGTGGATAGGTGGCATTCAAGATGAAATTACAGGATGCCATTTACCAGAATCGACCTCTGATGATGACCTCCCAGTCGATAGACAAGAATGGCGATTACACTGAAAAAAGTTTATGTACTCTTGCTGAGTCGGGGCCACATACAGACTGTGAACAATTTGATGCCGACCTATGAATAGAGATAGAGTCCATTTTATAGTATGAACAAATATTACATACGAAGAGTATGTACCCTGAGTCCATACCGTATGGACCCACTGTCCATACCGTATGAATGGTAAGTTCATACACATGCTTTTCCATGCACGACATGTTTACGGCACAGCTCTGCTCTAGTCGTGAAAGCCAGACCGTATGTACGAGCAGTTCATACCTTGGATTTTCCAATCAGTATAGACCCTCACTACGTAATCATTTTTTCAGTGTAGGTATAGCAGAGCGCCCGGGTGCGCTGTAAAAGCGACTTGTATGTACACGTATCTTAAAATGCATGAAGAAGAAATTAAAAGAGTTCAGAATTGTACCCTAGACCACACGAAAAAGAGACAGTGAGAGACTGAGGAGGGAGCGGGGAATCAAGAGGGGGAGAGTAGAATAAAGCGAGGGGGAGGTAGAAAGGAGGGAATAGAGAGGAAGTAAATGGGTGGCGAGTCGGAGAGAGAAAGGAATGAAAAGTGAGGCTAGAAGAAAAGTCCGACTCTAGGAAAGAAAAAACGCCTTCAATTGGGAATGATACTGCGCAACACACGGAAGCTCAAATAGTTGTATCGTTCTATTATTTAAGATATTCCGATGGTTCGAGTACAAATCCAAGGGGAGAGGAGGATGGAGAGAGGGGTAAAATAATTTAGAGAGTTCGCTAGTTGGTAGTTCATTCGTTCGTTCGTTCGTTCGTTCGTTCGTTCGTTCTCACAAAAAATTGGTGGCTGGATTATCTGGCAGCGATCAAAATGGAAATTTAGTTGACTAAAAATTGAGCATTACAAGAAAGCTCTACAAGTCAAAACTGATCGGAAGTGTGAAGTATCATTTAAAGGCACATTCTAACGAGAAAGACGTAGAAAACATAGATCTCAGGATTTTTATTGATATTTTTTATTTTTTATTGTATTTTTCTCCTGAAAATGGCTCAGTTTTGAGTCGGAATGTCTCGAGTTTTTTATTGTTGTATTTTAGCCTTGTTTTTGTTTTCCCCCTCGTACTACTTTTCGGGGCTACATATATGTCCATACTCTCCCACTCTAGGTGCTCCAACCGCAGGTGGAGGAAAAAAACCAAATTTCCCGCCGCATCATGATCGTGCCGCGCACTTCACCCCGCATCAATCATTTCACGGGAGAGCAAATCTCTAAATAAGCTTCCGTAAAATTACCCACTTGAGTGTGCAGCGAAAAGACCCTAAATCATGTCCGCATTCCGAGGCATCAATGAGCCGGGGGTGAAGGAGATGTTCACACGGTTCGCTTGACAAATTCCTCGCTTGACGTATCTGAATACAGGAGACGAGAGGGGGGGGGGCTTACATTAGAACCTGACACTCTCATACCCGAGCCGCGCGATTTTCTCCGAACACCGGAAGTTAACCGTTGTCACCGCTTCCATGCACACCGTCAAAATTCGTGGGGCACATTCGGCCGTGCTGAGAAAGAACGCCGTATGAGCCTTTGGACGTTGCCAAGTTTTCTCCAATAAAAACCGAATTCACTGGGAAAATTGTGAATATATTTTCCCGAAATTTGCACACAATTTTGTGCGCAATTCAATCTGAAATTTTTGAAAATTGCAAGGAAAAATAAGCATGAATTCCGTCAATAATATATGTTTTATCGAGAGAAATTTGGCAACTCTCGAATGTTCATACGGCGTTCTTCCTTAGCACGGCAGCATAGAGCTAAAAATAGAATAATACCTTGAATAATGGCAATATCGCTTTTATTTATAGCCAATTTGCGTTAGGCAGAAAGGATGGGGGTCATTTTGAACGTGCAGGGGGGGATTATGTAGGCCGAAATTCCTGAAATACGTCAAAACAATGGGCCTTAGCGCTACGTTGGCATCCCTACTCAGTTTGCTGGCCTTTTGGCTGGCCTTAAATCATCAGTGATTTTGTGAGTGATTATGAAACCATGCAATCACTCGATGAATGCGTAATATTATTAAGTTTAACCCTTTTTTCCTTATTTGAGTTTTGTCTCGTCGGAAATAATGTCTGTAACTACATTTTAAATGTGTTAAAGTTTTGAAATTGTTTTTTAACAGAGACTTTTCAAAGTTTAAAGTCCAACGATTCGATTGAATCTGCTGACAATAATGTGGATGAGGCTTTAATTTCACCCCTTGTTTTCCTCATTCCTGTCGTCCCTGTTACATGGTTTTTCCCGAGCTCGCATTCTAAATAGAATTTGGTGATATTATCGATTTAAACTCATTTCGAGGAAAAAAACAATTCACTTGCGAAAGTTCACCTTGCGGAAGATCCGATTTTAGGTTTAATGTAAAGAATGGTGTGTATTTTATTTCCGGTGTATCTTCTTTTTTTTCTTGCACCGTATCGGTTCGAAATCAAGATTAATGAAACCACTCCGATTCAAAAACCCTCTGAAAAGTCTATGGCACGAGGAAAACCTGCCTTTTAGGGTCCACCGTAATAAGGATTTGTGACACAAATTTTTCTCACTCCAAATCTAGACTGACTGATCCTTTTTTAAAGAGTTTCAGGAGAGGGAAGTGACAAGGAGAGTTCTCCACCAAAATATCACCTTCGAGAAAATAATGGGGCTTGTTACGTTCGCCTTTGATTACGCTGCAATCCATCTAATGATGCCTTTATTTATCACCAGAGAGAAATACCTAATTTTACCATTAATTATCTCGTTGCTCGTATAATAAAACATAAAAAACTCATTTCTTCCAGTTTTTTAGTGATTTTGCGCTTTCTAAAGTGTCCGAAAGGTAAGATAGTAAAAACGTGCACCGAAAAAAAAGTGAAGTTGATTTAACATTCTGGACGTAACAAAAGTGTGCGAGAACTTCTACATACATACGAGTCGCTGTTATAGCGCTCTTTGGCGCTTTGCGACACCTAAACGCCACAAAGCTCGGTCTTCCCACAGGTCATCAGGGAGTTGACAATCTCTTATCTCATTTAACACCCCCTGTCGCCAACCTCTCACTGGGCGTCCCCTACGCCTCCTCCCAGGAGGAACCCAATCAAGCATCTTTTTTGGCAGCCTCTCTTCCGTCATCCTATTGACATGACCATACCAAACAAGTTGTTTGGTCATGACGTCGAACACGATGTCATTTTCGACTTCCATTATCTGACGCACTCTATCATTACGGACCCGATCTCTCCTAGAAATTCCTGCCGACCTTCTCCAGAAATCCATCTCCGTTGCTCTTAGCATAACGCGTGCGAGAACTTCTAAAATGCTAAATTACCCGCTATAGCAGTTAGTTTTACATGCTGAAATTGCGGAATTAACTCTTCTAGCGGGCAATTCAGCATTTTAGAAGTTCTCGCACACTATTTTCACATCCAGAATGTTAAATCAACTTCACTTTTTTTTCGGTGTGGGTACAAGGGGGAAGTTTCTTATGCTATGGACTACGAGACGTTGAACCCAACTCGAGTCACTACTCGAGGTCTATATTTTTAGACCTAACTTAACCTGACCTAACCCAACCTAACCTGACTCAACCTAACCTAACCTAACCTAACCTAACCTAACCTGACCCAACCTAACCTAACCCAATCTAACCTAACCCAACCTAACCTAACCTAGGTCTAATTTTTTTTAGTGTGGATGAATTTATTTTTGACGAAATGCGTGTTTGTGTTGCAGCTCTGTACGAGGTCCCGGTGGGGATAGTGATCCTGCTATCCGTGTTCTATGGGACGATCTCCTTCGTGGCGGTGGTCGGCAACTCGCTGGTGATCTGGATCGTGGCCACCAGCCGCCGAATGCAGAATGTCACCAACTGCTTCATCGCCAATCTTGCCCTCGCCGACATCGTCATCGGACTATTCGCCATACCATTCCAGGTAACTTCTACTCTTGCAGTGTTCAACCTGATTGTTGAAATTCATAGACAAAACTATAGACAAAGAAGACATAAGGAGTGTAAAGCAATCCTATTGGTTGAAATGGGTGGTTCCTATAGACTAAGGGAGAAAATGATGAACTAACTATTGGGTCTCTCGTGGGTTGCCGTCAGTTAGTCTATCACCTAGTCCTTCGTCCATTGCAACCACCCTCTTCCACCAATAGGATCCCTCGATATCTCTTTGTCTCCTTTGTCTATTGCTTTGTCTATCAATTTCAATAATCACCCCGCTGTGGTGTAGTGATTAGAGCGCTGGACTTATAACCATGAGATCCTGGGTTCGATTCCCGGCCGGGTAACCTGGGTTTGATAGTCTCAATCGTCACCTTGGGCTGGTGGTAAGAGTGGAATTAGCCATTTGAAGCTTGTAAAAAAACAAAAAACAAAACATACAAAAAAAAATGAGTATGGAGCGATCCTATTGGTTGGAATGGGCGGTTTTTATAGACTAAGAAAGAAAATGATAGACTAACTTTAAGGTCTCTCATGAGTTGCCGTGAGTTAGTCTATTACCTTTGTCCATTGCAACTACCCCCTCCTATCAACAGAATCCCTCCATATTATTTTTGTCTTCTTTGTCTATCGCTTTGTCTATCAATTTCAACAAGCAGCCCACTGATTTCCTGTCCGAAACTCATAGAAGGTTCTGCTTCCCACGCAAAACGATTCCTCCTCTCAAGTAATGCTGCCGTGGTTGACCAATAGATGTGCACGATGTGTGCCAAACTAACATTTCTACATTTGCAATACATTTCTAGAATGATGACTAAGAACCATAAAATAATCGAGGACATTAAAATCTTTTAGAAAATCAAATTGCGGTTTTTTTAAAGTCACAGCGATGATGAATCTGCATAAATGCGTACCTCGGTTTGCAGTGCTGCAAATTTCCTGTCATTCTTTACTTTTTTGGATGAAAAACTATTGAACTTCATTTCTTTGAAAATTTCAGTGATTTTTCTTCTCTCTACCCACAACAAACAGTTTGTGAAAACTTCAAGTCATAGTGTTAGCTCGATCTCTTTTTAAAAAACAAGCTAGTAGCGGAGACGTCAAAACTCCGCAATCGAGATACACATTTTCGCAGTTTCACCGTCAACATGTAGCGTTGGATAGTTAGAGGGCTCTTTTTGAAAATAAATGCATCACATTGCTGTTTCAATCGGACAAGTTGCACCTAACGCATCACTGAGAAGACGCGAAGCAATGGTAGAGAAATCTCTGGTATACTCGAAGGCAATAAATATTGAACAATGTAGCGTCGCCCACGGTATATAAGATCTTTAAAAAATGTATAATATGTAACTATTGTACGTTTTTTGGTAATCATACGTCGTTCGCAGTAGGTAAATTGGCATTGAACAGATCTATATTTTTTATTTGTAACATGAGTGTCATCGATCAATGTTTCCAGCGATTTCTGTTACGTGTTTCGCAAACAGTCGCGATATGACGGCTGTTAAAATTACTCGAATGTTCTGAGAGTTACTTTTACATTGCCGATGAAAATCAGGGTATAAGGCCACGCATCCCAAATGAAAACAGGATCAAAGCGAAATGCAATGATGAGCGGCCCCGAGTAAAAGCTGAGTTAAAAGGGATACATGAAACTGACTTGGAATAAAAGGAAGCGTTACGGTTTTATTAGATTCAAGACCAATTGAATCTCGCTGCCAGGTATAATAAAGCCTCGTTGCCAAATACGCGCCGAATCACTTCCGCTTCCTACTTAAAGACGTTCGTCTTCAAATCAAATCATTTAGGTGGAATTCCAAGAAATTTTAACATTCAAAAGTACTAAGTTTAGCCAGAATACAAACTCTATTTAAACTAGACTTTCTGTACAAGCAAGTTTAAGATGCACTGTCTTTTGGATACAATTTTGTATTACTTTGTATTTTGGTCGAAAACGGAGTTTTCAAAGATGAAAGGTAATCTTAAGGTAGAATTCTAACATCTATGACATTTCGAGGGATCTTCAAAAATTCATATTCTCATAAAACAAATTGTAAGAAATTTGTTATTTCACGCGCTTAATTTAACTAGTTTAGATGTGTATTAAAAACACAATGGTCATTAATATTATATGACACAATGTGCGAATTTTTTCTACTTTTTTTTTACATTTTTCTTTGTGATGAAAGTTTGGATTGCTTCAAGGTAATTTGGTAACTTGAAATGCGTGATATTATGATTTCAGTTTATTTTATACGTCAGTTATATTTCATGCTATAAGTCAGATTATAATGGAAAATTCACCATGCCAATATCTACGTAAAAAAACACTTTTGCTTCAAATAATTATCCTTATCGTCGGCTAATGCGTGTTAAGGAGTTATTGCAAGCAAAATGTATTCCTGTCACCACTTTTATTGTTTTTAGAGTAATTTTTAAAGTACAATAGAATGAAGAGTATAAAAAAGTGTTTGTCTAATCGCAACCGGCGTCATTAATTAAAATTCACTAGTGTTTGCCATAAAAAGCAAATTTTCAAAATCTTAAATTCTTCTCTTGATATGCTGATCAATAACTATGATGTCCTCCGCTTTTAGATTTCCGCCCTATGAAACATAAGTGCCGTAATAGAAAGCTAGGGACATACTTGTGATACCACTATTCAAACTCTTTGACGGTGCTGGAAGTATACACAGTATTTTGAAGGCGTTTTTTGAGTCGAACCTCGCGATTAACCGTTCCACAAATGTTGTGTACCTGGCTTTACTCAGTTGAGTGGGTCATATCCTTGCTTCTCTTTTTTTGGCCACTCCATAGCAAAATGCTTAAGCTTTAAACTATACTTCTTGTCTTTATTTTTAATTTAAAGAGGTCATAAGAGTAACCGGCTTGAATGGTAACGTGTGTATGATGTGACATTACAATTTTCTTTAAAACTAATCATTTTCTTTTACCAAAATTGGCAGGCGATGAACACACTATAGAATCTGAAACAGATTTTTTTAAATCTCTCCGAAAAAAAATGCTGTGATTGTTTTAATTGTAACTATGCTTTTTTAGGAAGAAGGTAAACAAAAATAATTCTTATGATCTAGCGTACCACTTAACTTTTACTACCAACGAAGGTAATGACCAGGTTTTCTAATCTTCTTCGGCCAAGCACATAGTGCTAATAATCGTCATGGAAAAGTATGTTAATTCGTTGGAAGCGAAAAGGAACGGAAGCAAAATTGCTGACGAAACTGGTCGTAAGAATAATAAAACCGGAAACGAATGAACGGATAAATACGAAGAAGGAAATGAAATATTCTGAGCCACGAAGTAATGCCGCTGTAAAACTATAAGGCTTTGCAACGAAGGATTCCAGTTTCCAGTCTCAAAGTGCACGGTCGTCTGCGCAGTTGCCATTTTAAAGCGGGTCGTCTGCGTTTTTCTCTGGCATATTTTTTCCAGCTAGATTGAAACTACTACCAAAATAAAGAGGAAATATTCGCGTTAAAGTAAAGTAGCATTAGGAAAACTCAGAAGAAATAAAAATTTACGTCTTAGATAGCTCCTACTTTGATATATCTACTACTACTACTACCACCACTTCTACTACTACTACTACTACTACTACTACTACTACTACTACTACTACTACTACTACTACTACTACTACCACCACCACCACTACTACCACTACTACTACAACCACTACTACCACCACTACTACCACTACTACTACCACTACCACCACTACTACAACTACCACTACTACCACTATGTTTATAATGTGGTTTTAAGTCCTACGTCCATTATATCTGGAACCAGCTCTCGTAATATTAAGTAGTAAACAGGACTTATGCATACGATTACGAATCATATCTTACTGTCTTGAACTCTCGCGAATTTCCAGAATAGCAACCTCGATAATTTTTCCATACGTCTACTACAGTGTATCAAATACAGGAAACGAATTTTTGCAAATCAAATCAAATCACGAAGTCCGGCAATAGCCATTAAACTCTATTCCCTACGTAAAAATGCTCGTAAGGTTTTACATCCGACGGTAGAACCATACTCAATGAACATGAATAATGCCTCTTGTTACCTCGGTTTGGACCTATATGAAGGCAATTTATCTAAATGTTCATCGTAAACATAGAATTGCATCCTTTGAGAATGAATTCGAAACTTCGTATGAGATGGAAGATAATTCTAATGGAGGTAGGAACCAAGGATTTTCCACCCAATGAGTTTTATTGAAACCATGAGTGCATTTCTCGATTTTTGGTATTCTCTTCGCCGTAATGATAAACCTTTGAAAGGTTTCGTGGGGCTTAAAGTAAGCTCAAAGTAAGCTCTTGGTAGGATCAATAATTCTCTCCATTGATTCATCACCAACAGTGGCGAGGCGTGAAAGTTCGATTATCGATATTTTCCCCTTTCAAGGTATGGTAATCAATCGATTATTTATCGATCGTTTATCGATCCTTTCCCATAGGTTCAAGGGACAGATCAATCGATATATTGCAAAGCACGCCACGCCTTTGATTACAAGTACACAGATAACATGAACTTTCCTTTATATCAAAACTGCAGCACGAAACAGAGGTTCTCCTTTGGTGAAAATTGAAGATAACTTGGATTGCATTTTGCAAACAAAAAGGAACCACTAGCATTGCAATGTTGCTAAGATTGTGCAACTTCTTTTGTCTTGGAGGAAAACCCCGATTATCCATTAATAGTTTCTTGTTTACTCGCTAAAAACTGTAAATTTAAGACAAAAAGTACCATCTAAATTTCATAGTTTTTCACAATTTCCGCAATTTTATTGCAAAAAATGAAGTTGCACAATCTTAGCATCATTGCAATGCGAGTGGTTCCTTTTTGCAAAATGCAATCCACTCGTGCAATTGATGTTAAATATACGTTTGACAACAGTGCTAAAGTTTAAGATAATGAGCATCCTCTCTGAAATAATAAAAGCCACGCGGCGCT